TTTTTTTTTTTTTTTTTGTTCTCAAATTATAAATTTATTATCAACACGTTAAGCGTATTCTGTTGTCAAGTGGAGACGACCGCATCAGGTATTTACGAAAAATAAGAAACATAGCTTAGTTTCTTTCATTATCGAAGTAGATCTACGAAATTTGTTGCTGGGCATAAATTCGAAGTTTTTTATTATGAGAAAATGCTAATAGAATCGAAAAGTGCTGCATCAAGCGATTTAATTTTGCCGAGCCTTGTTTATATTCTTTTAATAAAATACATTAATATTTTTGTTCAAATATCATATTCCTTTCCTGAAAGCTTTGATTGAACGAAAACCGATACGAAATGCTTAATCTCACAATCAAAATTTAATCTCCAAATGCTGTGGCCGATCCCTAGAGACGCTTAACGTGTTCAATTATATTCTCGTTGCACTTGGTCTTGAATGGTTCGACAAATGCTCCGAATGAGAGAACAAAAAAAAAAAAAAAAAGAGATTTGAAAATGACTTCGTTTAGAGTTATAAGGCATCTTCGTCTACCCTATATTATATATAACACTGCTTAAAGAGTATAGTTACGTATATTGTACCAGTCGATTTTTACGTTAATAAAAATTGTCAATCGAGAGAAATTGAGACTCGTAGCTCGCTGGTCAACTTGTCTGTGCTGTTGAACATCTCTCGTTTGTTTCCACGCGTGGATGTCGTACGCTATATAAAAAAGTTTGGCGCGATATTCTCGATAAAAAAAAAAGTCTCTTCTAGACTTGTCTAGAGTAACACTTCGTATAAAACGCGTTGGAGTGGTGGGTGGAGTAAGGAAAAGCACTTGGCAAAACTGACTGTAACTTGAGCGACTCGAACAAGTAAAAAATCGAAGATATTTTTTCTCGAACGAACCTGTGTGTGTATGTACTTGCGTAAGAGCGCGCACGCTCTGTAATTACATTATATTGTAACTGGTATCCTTTCTCTCTCTCTCTCTCTCTTTCTCTCACACTCTCACTCTCACTTTAGTTAACATTCGACATCTGTTATTGGCACAAAATTGTACTAGCAATATGGAAACACCTGCGGGACCGCGTTTCATCGTCGACGAGAGAAGTTCCACGGGCGAGGCGGTTCATTTCGAAAAAAAAAAAAAGAAAAAAAAAGAAAAAAGAAAACGCACGAACTCGCCGATGGAACTGCATCGACGCACGAGTAACTCTATGTATCGTTTATTATTTATAGTATCGTAAATTAACCTACGTCGTAATAGGAATGTGTACGAGAAGAACGCCCGGCGGAACGAACGAAGCGTTTCCACGGACGAAGAAGCACTCGTTCGTTTGAAAAAGAAAAAGAAGAGCCGCGCGAGACTCGGTTTGCAGTCGGCGGCTATTTTATTCGTCCTTTTTTTTTTCTTCTTCTTCTTTTTTTTTTTTTTTTTTTTTGTCCTTTTTTTTTTTTTTTTTTTTTTTTTTTTTTTTTTTTTTTTTTACATAAAATCGTTTACCTACTATGATCGAACATTGTTAGATCGTTCAGTCTTTTGAAATTGCAGCGTCCGCGATGTCGCGACGTGTGTAAACGCGTCTCCGGTCGGTGACGCTTGAAAACGAGGAGAAAGGAATTCTGTTAACTTTATTAACGAGATACTTATTGGCGATACGACTTGTTTATGTTTTCTCTTTTTTTTTTTTTTAATTTAGATAGTTAGCTTCTCCTTAGACAAGTATATCGTTCCTTCCTTTACCTTCTCTCCGGTGAAAGGCTCGCGCGGCAGCTTGGGTTTCGAAAAGGTTGAAAAAGTTCCTTTTAGAAAACGGAAGAGAAAAACCGGTTGGACGTTCCCGCCGTTCGGGGACGTGGTTGGTAAAAAAACAATACAAAAATACATAGTTATGTGTGTGTTTGAAGGACCCTCCGTCCCTTTATATACGATAATTAATCGCAAGTTAATCGTGGACTTTTCACGCTGACTATTGGATGACAGTGATTCGATTTCTTTTCCCTTTCTTTCTCTCTCTCTCTCTCTCTCTCTCTCTCTCTCTCTTTCTCTCTCTCTTTTTCTCGATTTCCTCTTACACGCGATCTAGTTTTCTATCATTTCTATCAGTTTCTTCGACGTTCATTCTTCTCAGGTTCCGTTTGTTATTCTATTTCTCATCCGCGACGACATTGTGCCCACGCAGCTTCGTCGCAGAAAGTTCAACGCTCTTGATTAGGGTTTCTTTTCATTCGACGAACCTTGTTCCTTGGGACCTAACCCAAACACTTCGTTTAGCTTCGCAGAGAGACATACTCGTACGCGTACTCGCATGCCGATCACTCGCTTCCCCGCGACGCATAAAAACGCGCGTTACAGTCGCGAATATTCGTTCATTACGCTCCTCGAATTCAAAGAAAATGTATAAAATATCACTGGTGAAAAAGTCGGAACGACAATGAAGAACATTCTGATGAGGACACGCGTTCGTAGTTGAAGCTTTTCGCATTAAGCATCGGCATCGTTCTCAGTTGTTTCTCTCACTCTCTTTCGTTTCTTTCTTTCATTCATTTTTCTCTCTCTTTCTTCGTTTCCCTTTCTCATCGATCCATGAAAAAATTCACGAAAATATAGCTTCTCTCGAATGTTTCTCTTTGTTTACGTTTCCTTCTTCCTTTTTCTCTCCCCCTCCCCCCTTTATCAATTCGCTCACGTTTCTCACTCTCTTTGGTTCTCTCCTTTCGAAACTCTCTTGCTCGCTAGCTTTCTTCAGTCAGTGGGCTCGCAGTCTCTGCCTCGTCCATTCTCTGTCTTCCGTTCGTTCAATTGCTCAGTCTGTCCCTTTCACACGCAAACGGTACATTCATTCTTAAGCTTAGCACCCTTCAATTTCAGCCTTCCTGTGTTACAAAGGAAACACGCTTCGAAAGTCCCGCGTATCGTGACGCACCGCCTTCAGCTCGCGTATATCTCGATTAAATACGCAAAAATATTTCGTCTTGAGCAAAACATCTGGGTATGCCTAACGCTAAGGATACGTGTACGTGTGTACCCGGTCTGTGTGCCTCTGTGTAGGATGTATGCGTGTGTATGATAACATACGGGTTAACGAACCAAACCGAGAATCGTGCTGCGAAGAAAGAAAAAGGCTATTCGTTGTGAAAATCTTCGAGAAAAGAAATTGAAAAGTTGGCGTTTTGAAAACGAAGAGCGTACGAACAAAAAGAAAAAAAAAATATCGGATGCTTGTCTCGACTGAATAAAAGAGAACGTAAGAAATTCCAAAAAGAAAGAATGCAATTTTTTTTGTCTTCTTTTCTTTTTTCGTTTAACATTCGTGTTGGTGATAGTTCGTTTTACAATGACAAACAGAATCGCGTATACTTGAACTATATGTGTTTAGTCGATTTCTATTCTCGATAACCATAAATTGCTTGGCGCTCTCTCTCTCTCTCTTTCTCTCTCTCTTTCTCTCTAACTACCCTGTATACACGTGCAGAATCGAGGCGAATGCTCGACTCTGTCTAATCGCGAGAACGAGAAAACAAGGATATGTTGGATGTATCTCTCTTGTGATACAATGTGTGTGATACATGCTTCTGTAAAAGGAAAGGAAACGCGAGGAACCCAGTCTATGCACGCACCGGTAAATGTTGGCGAACGAATCGATGTGAATTTGGTTATGCGTGAATTTAGAAAAGAAAAGAAAGACGAGGAATAAAGGCAGAAAAAACGTATCAAATTGGTGACGCGGAGGCGCATTATATCTTCACCTGAAGTTGTTTCAACCATAACGCAAATACGAAAATACGCGTGACGAGGAAAGTCCATCTCTCTCTTTCTCTTTCTCTTTTGGGAATCATCGTCGATCGATCGAACGAACGCGACAATTCATTTGTTTAATCGTCTCGCTGAAGTATGACTATCCAGTTGCAAACTATAGTCGATAACGAAATCAGTTCGGTTAATCGAATCGGATCGCCCGACAACGAATATACATAATTATACGTGTGTATATATTAATATACAAATTTATTTAATATTCATTAATATTACTCAATAAACGTCGCTATATAATAAATTTATATACGTCACTATCTTATTGTTACTATTAATAAATATACAGCAGAGGTGTGTGTGTGACGCGTGATCAGGCACGATTATTAATCGTAATTCGATTAACCAAACACGTGTCGCCGTGTTCATAACACATCCCCATTTTGTCTGATCGATCGATCGATCGATCATCAGCGAACAAATACCCTCCACTCTACCCGATATTTCATTATTATTTTGGACGTTCTTCGTCGACCCTGTCCCTGTTTCTGTCACTCGTCGTTCGCTAATGTGCTTCTTTCTCCTGTTTCTATCTCTTTACCAAAAAAAAAAAAGAAAAAAAATAACGTAATCCTTGTTCGATTACGACCTCTCTTCTGCCACCTCGTACGTACAAGCTGATACTCGGAAATTAGGGTTGCGACTCGACCAAAGTCAACGCGATTATTAAAGGAACGTCGTCTCGATTTTATTTATTTCTTTTCTTTTTTTTTCATTTTTTTTTCTTTTTTCTTTTTTTTCTTTTAACCAGTCTTTCGTTAGGCTCTCTGCTTCAGCTATTAGAATTTCTCACTTTCGACCGAGCGTCTTATCCCTTTCTCTCTCTCTCTCTCTCTCTTTCGCTCTTTCTCTCGCTCTCTCTCACGTTCTCGCTCGCTCTCTTTCTTTCTTTCTCTCTCGCGCGCAGTAACACGGCACTTGAAAAGTTTTATTGCGATAAAAGTGTTACAGTTAACGTGAGTGTCCATGCGTGTGTTTCGAGCACTTCCGTTTCTCCGGCCGTCTCGACGATCGGCCGCCGGACCGCCTCATTTCACTTCAAGTCCTCCATCGCGCCGTAATTCGCGAGGGATTTTTTAATCCTAAGCGCGGTCAGTCTAGCTGCCGCGTTGTGATACCAACACTCCTTCATGACCTTCGACATCACTTGCAATGCCTGAAAAGAAGATCAGAGCAGGACGTGAGTTGTGTAGCTTCTACAAAAAAACATTCGATTATTATCGTTACATCGAAAGTGCAAAGAACGTAGGCTCGCTCGTGCGTTGAACTTTGCAAAATTGTGTCAACACATTTGGATACAAAGTTGATCTATTTAATATGTACTATTGTATAAAGAAAATATAGTTCGTTTAGAAGAGCAGAGACGACCATGAAATCTTTGAAACGCCTCTGCCTCTAGGCAAACGTAAAAATCTGAAAGTATATAGCACACCTAGTTTTTGACTGATGTCTTTATGTAGAAACATAGTAACAAAATCTGTTTCCATGAATATTATGATTCACTACGCACAAAAGTATTGTTCACAATAGCAATAATGAGTCACACAAATTCTAGGTGTCGAAAAAGACACATTTTGGAATCTCAGTGCTTCATTTATACATTTAATATTATTAAATAAATATTGCAATATTATTATATTGCAATATTATACATTTAATATTATTAAATAAATATTTGCAATATTTATATAAATATTAGGGAAGTTTGTCTTTAAACCATTAAAAATATTTTACATTCTGTTCAAATACGTGAGAAAATTAAACTACGTTGGTGGACAATATTGCAAGATTCTTTAAGAATTATATACTGATACAAAGGTTCTAGTTATATCTATAAATAACACTACATAAAAACCAATCTCATACTCTTTACTTATCTTGACTCAGTGAAAAGACAAACGTGGAACAGATTCTGAGCACAAAGTAATAAATTTGCGTCATAAGATGTAAATGGTGTCTTTACGATGTAAATCAAGTCTTTCTTATTCTTAAAAGCATGTGAAATGAAATTCTACTGTTTAATATTGTGTGCATTTCAAATGTACTTTGATACTGTCGGTGAGATGGATTAATTATACTCTTCACAACCACTGATGATATCTATTAATTATACAAGGTATACATTCCTTACAATCATTTTAATACAAAGAAATGACCCGCCAAATAAAGGGCCGAAACAGTGATGTTTATTTAGTATAGATACCTCATTTCACGCATCGAAGGACGAGGAATTTAGTTTCTAGTCTATGATATTAAATACATTTCAATATTTCCTCGATGCAATTTCTATTTTTTTTCGTTGATAGAAAATTTTGTTTCCGTCTAATTGCGATACTAAACGGATGTTGCCGATGCAAGAGCAAAGTACATGGAAGTTGAAGGTCATTCTAGAAGAAGCTCTCGCAAAGAACACGTACCTCGATCGACTGCCACCGATTCGGTATCGATGGCCTCTGTCTGTCGGTGCACACAACTTTACGCATCTCCTCGATCGTCGGATCAGAAGGCACCAAGTCGTAAAACGGCAGCTGATATTCGTCGTGAATTCCGCCAACGTTGCACCGCCTCGCGATCTCCCAGAGGATCAGCCCGAGAGCGTACACGTCAGCCCTCTTGAAGGAATCAAAGTGGTTCATGTTTATCGTCTCTTCGAGAACCTGAAAGCAGAGGCAACAATTCTCAGGAGCCGTACCTATCCGGCGAGCAGAAGAAGTTTCTTCGAAGTTAACTTTTCCTGTCTTCCCTACATCCAACTCCGACATCAATCTCGAAAATAGTGATTGAACGTGTTTTACAGCTCGCGTAAAGAAGACGTCTCTCGGAACATATCTTCGACAGTTTCTTTCGTTTCGGACTTTGATTGTATTTTCTCAACGCGCCGACGACGGTCGAAGTGTAGTCAGATATCATTGACTTCGATAGAAGAGAGGAAGAATTTTGTTGGAAAAGATTTCGAACGCCAAAGAGTTGAATTGAAAGGAAGGAAGGAATTTAAATGTCAGAAACTTGGAGAGGGTGTAGAGGAAACGACAAAGTCTGAGGGAGATGTCTTTCGTTTTTTGCTCCGTTTTAAAGAAGGTGAGAGAGAAAAATGTGTTTTTCGATTTTCTCGCTTTGTTCGATGAGTTTATTCGACTCGAGAGACCAAACCGTAGTTTGATACAATGTCTAGCTGCAATCGGAGTAACAGTTGCAAAAGGATGGTACTTTGAACAGTATCATCGTCGAATGGATTATACAGATGATGATGGATGATATCACAAGATGATAAATATAGATTAAAGAACGAAAACTTTTTTGTTTCTCCGCGATTTTTTCCAAAATGGAAGGAAAACGAGCAAAGTCTCTCTTTTTCTCAGTTCATCAATCACATCCCGAAGACATTTAACTTTTTTTTGCTACGGTATAGATAAACATGTTCTTGCGTGCGAATGAGCTCTCTCTGCCGCGGTATCGAGCAATTCTAATCTAAGACGCGCTTATTTCTCCCAAAGTGAAGAATAAATGGACAATTTTATTGAGTGACCAAACGAGATAGTGTTGGGTGACTATAGTATATCATCGGTAGTCAAATAACCATAGTTATCGGCGTTAGTTCGAAGTTAACGAAAAAGTGAAGTTCAGGACGTCCTGTACATGCTTTAAGCCAAATCGCTAGTCAGATCTAAAAGCAAATGCAAAGAGAAGGTGAAAATGAAATTCGTGTAAAAACGAACGATCGCGGAAATGTAAATCTACGTTTCCATGATTCGCAGAATTCTCGCGATCGTAACTCGCTGCTTCAAGAAACAAACAAATGGCGAAATGAGTATTTCTATAAGTTACCTCGGGCGCCATGTACCGCTTAGTGCCGACCCGATTATTCAGCTGGATATCGACGGTGTCTGTTATTACGTCATGCCTGACGGCCAATCCGAGATCGCCGATCGCGCATGTACCATTCGTCTTCACGAGGATATTCTTCGACTTGAGATCCCTGTGAGCGATGGCCGGCTTCCCCTGCGTGCCGACGATCTCCATGTGAAGATGCGCCAGCCCGGTGGCGATCGACAGGGCCATCCTGATCATACCGTTCGTGTCCACGGTCGATCTGTTCAGATAATCGAACAGCGAGCCCTTCTCGTGGTAATCGGTGATCAGCCACAGCTGGGTCCACGTGCCATTATCTGTGGAACGTGAAATACAACATGTACTACAGATTATACTCCGGATTCGGGTGTTCTGTCCGACACTCTGACAATGAGATGCCGGACTTCTTCCCCGCTCGATCACTCTCTTGCCTTGATTCCTCCAACATGAATATTAGCAGAGCCACAGGATGGTCATTGAATGATAGACTGTTCTTTTTAATTTTTTGTTATTTTATTTGGAAATATAATTAACTCTCGCGTAGCCGACACCGGGTCACCGTTGACCCAGAACTATATATATATATATATATATATATATATATATATATATATATATATCTACGTCATCGAATAATTTATCGAATAGTGGATACGGGAAAAAAAAGTACAATTCGTGCAATTGCTACAGTAACGAGAGATATTTTATCAGCAAGCAACAATAATGTTTTCATTGATTTATCAAGTGATTCGCGTACAGTTCAACATCATTGCCTCTTAGTTCGATCTTATATTAAAACGTTAGCAATGTTTTTTATTTTTTACAATACTCCTCGGAAAATCTGTTGAATTTTTATTCGACTTGGTATCATTTATAAATTAAAATGAACCGCTCTGTACGTTTGATGTATTCTTATTCTTCATTGCGCTCACGAATACTTGAGACATCTACTCGAACAAAAGGCTGTTCCATAAAATGTCCCAGCGGGGGCATAACAGGATCAAACTTTTCTAATATACTTGCAAGTTTAGTAGATTCAAAGTTTAAAATTTGAAGTTAAATATTTCGCGATGAGAAGAGGTAGTTTATAATCGTCTTATAAACGTCTTTTTTTAAATAAAAGTAAGACGTTACACATACATTCTTCCGAAGTACAGTTCTTAGATTGTTCTCGTTAAAAATTAACGTGCGAAAAGTTCGTGATTATTTACGTTACATCGTCTATTTGCGAGGTAAAAAATAAAATTTTAGAAATACACCATACACATCTCGTATGATATTCATAAAATTAATTAAAGAATTTGAACTTAACACGGTCAAAACAAAATAATTTCAACTCTCGAACTCTATTTTCGCCCCTTTTGTGTAACAACTAATTTAAAACAGGCAAGTACCTACAAACTATTATCTATGTATCATATCAATTTTATAAAAATCGACGTGTAATCGAGGTTCGATAAAACTTCTGAAAATCCAGTAATCACCTAAGAAATTACTTCAAGACATATTGTCTTATCTCAAAAGAATCTCTTCACTTCAATGTTCCAAAAGATATTGTTTCAACTCTCGTGTGTATTTAACTCGAACTCTATTCTCACCTCTCCTATGTAATACCTAATTTAAAAACAGACGAGTACTTACAAACTGTAGATACGTATATACATATAATTCGATGGATACATCAGCGAAAAAATTTCTGTAAAATCCAGTAATCGCCTAAGAAATTACTTCAAGACACATTGTCTTATCTCAAAAGAATTTCTTCACTTCAATGTTCCAAAAAATATTGTTTCAACTCTCGTGTGTATTTAACTCGAACTCTATTCTCACCTCTCCTATGTAATACCTAATTTAAAAACAGACGAGTACTTACAAACTGTAGATACGTATATACATATAATTCGATGGATACATCAGCGAAAAAATTTCTGTAAAATCCAGTAATCGCCTAAGAAATTACTTCAAGGCGCATTTACCCGGAAGGGGTCGAGTATATCTCTCGAAGATAGCCAATAGCCGGAGCTGTTGGAGTTTCAATTCGAGTCGTTTCGAGTTGCACGTACATAGATACATACAGGTTCTGCGCGCGGTACGGTTTTCCACGTACCTTTGTTATCAGCAGCGATGAACCCCAGGATGTTGTCGTGCCTGAGCATCACCGTCTGATAAATCTCTGCCTCCCTGAACCAAGATCTCTCCTCGCGCGAGCTGAAGATCTTCACGGCGACGTTCTCGCCCCTCCAACGGCCACGCCAGACCTCGCCGAAGCGACCCTTTCCGATCGTTTCCACCAGCTGAATCTGGCGGGCTATGCTCCGCTGTACCAGAAGTGGCAGGCCTACTTGGGAGAGGATGGGCATTGAAGAACACGAATTTCAGTATGATTGAAGATGGCCCTCGTGTGCGGGACGTTAATGTCCCGCGTGCCTTGCCGTCACGGTGGAACACGATACACGCTACGTACTACTACGTATGTATCGGTGCTTACGTTGTAGCTCGAAGCTGCAAGCTTCGTGCAAGCATCAGATGCACGCGCCTCCGAACCGTGTTTCCGTTTTTCTGTTCTGCCCGATCGTTTGCGAGTGTTGCAACTGCGCCCGAGAAATCGAGTGGAATAATTTAACAAAAGTTGATGCACCGTGACAAATGTGTTACCGAACTGAGCAGAATTTCGAGTGAATCGTTGGAGAAAATAATAATATTATATATATATATATATATATATATATAAAATATAATGTAATATAATAGTAATTATTAGTAATAATATTATAATATATAATATAATAAACTGTATAATATAATATAATTAATAATAATTATTATTAATAATATTATAATATTATATAATATAATAAACTGTAATATATTATAATGTAATAATAATATATATTATTATATTATTAAAATATATATGTATATAAGTTGTTGGACTGGATTTCAAATCGAGATTCGGAATATCTTCATTATATACTTACTTTGTTCGTATTATATTTACTTTATCTGCAATTTCTAAAACTATCGATGAACTCGAATTACAAGTCCCGAGTCATTTCGACGATTCCAGTTAATTTTAGCGTTCAAGCACAACGCGATTATTCAAATTAGACGACGTTCGATTCGATTTGAATTAACCATTAACTGAGATATTTCGAGAAACAACCGGGAAACCGAATATCAGTGGGAAAATTTAATTTGACCTACCTGAGCCACTGCCGCTGGTGGTCATCTCCAGCATGTCCCTAATGGTAACGCCGCCGAGGATGGGTCGATCCGGTGCCTCCTGCGAGTCATCACTGTTTCCGGGCCTTTCTGGGGTCTTGCGCACGTGATAAATCACCATCACCACCACGCAGATCACGCATATCGGCATTGCTATCATCAACGCCATTTTCCAAGTGACCCACGCCGCGTCGTCGCCATCCGACCGCACTTTTCCCAACAAATCATTCATTATCGTCTTGTAATGGTACACTTACATTAAAAGAAAAAAAAAAGAAGAAAAATCGCTTCAAAGAAACGTGAACCTTGTTCAAACCTTGACTTTTTTTAGACTCTCCAATTTCGTCGTTCAATGTTAACGTCCAATAAAGACTCTAGGAGATCGAGAATTAAAATTCGATCAGAGAGAAATCGAATATTTGTCAAGTGTTCAATCGAGCCAGCCCCCGAATCGACAGAATTTCAAACTCTGTAAAGAGATCGAACTCGAGCTGTACGATCGGGCCAGCAAAATCGAACAAGAGTCGAACGGATCGAACAGGTTGGCCAGGTTTCTTGGGAAACGATCGAAAAAGCCAGCGAAGCGGGTCTCGAGGTGTACGAAGGCCAAGGGGGGTAGAAAAAATGCATCAAGCTGGTGACACAACAGAAATTGTGCAAAAAAAAAAAAAAAGAAAGAAAAGAAAAGAAAAGAAAAACGTGCATAAACGACACAAGTACCGTCAAGCCAGCATGCGGTAGTGAGTATGGCAACAGTTTGAACATGCGCGTTGCGAGACTAATTGCCGAGAGTCGGGACAAACACTTTCCCAATTCTTGATACACGGTCCGAATCGAACCTTTCCTCGTTCAGAGACAGACAGGTATGGAGAAAAGATCAAGAAAAAAAAAAAGAATGAGAGAGGAGAGGAAAGAAACGAAAGCATCGAGAGCAGTACCAACGTACTGAAACAGCATCGTCTTCGATGAGTCTGTCTCCTCCCTTCTATCGGCCAAAAATGAACGATTCTTTGCGTTACCTGTCCGGTTATAGTGCACACGCAGCGCATAACGACGACGCAACTCGCGTGTGGATGCGACGCTTCTCTCGCTCCTTCGGATCATCGTGCCTCATTGCTCGTCCGCGGCGCTTCACTTACCTGACACTCGATTCCGCCGCATCGTGCGCGTGATTTCCTTTACACGGATGCTGTTAATCGGTTACTCATTAACACTAGAATTACCGACGACCAAAGCATAAAATTTCCATCAGAGACGTTAAAATAGATGGAACAGACAATCTTTATAGTAAAAAACAGAATACACAAACTTTTATGAAGGATCGTTCAAGTCTCCTTAAAAGTACACTGTTTTATATCTATAAAATATTTAACAAAAATATTCAGAATGATCATTTTGACCATTTTGGTAGTTCTAGTGTTAACTCGAAAGGAAAGAAAAAAAAATCACACAGGTATCACGTTAGGGAGAACATAACGGTGGTTAACACTTGGGATACTTCCTTTCGCGTTTCCTCGAATCGAGATTCGAAAACAGTTCTTTTTTTTCCTTTCTTTCCTGGCACTTGGCATTTCCCGAGAAATTATAAAACTGCCGGCCTGGATTTGAATTTAGAGATCGAATCAGTCGGCTTTGGAGCCGAGTTCAAAAAGTCGCGTCGAAATCGAATTTGACAGGTAATCAGATTTAGAATCGAGTTACATTAGAGAAAACATTATGTAGACTGTAATTTGGAATGATCGTTCTGGAATCGAAATACGAGAGGAGAGATTTACGAAATGGATAATCTCTCGAAATTGAATTTGACTCACTAAACGTATTGACATTTTGTACATATATCTATTCTTTTGTATATTCCTACTGTACATACCTATTGTATATACAATAATAATGGGTCTTTTTACGAAAGGAATACGGATAATTATCAATTTAATGCAGAAAACAATTTACTTTCTTTTAAATTTATTTAACATAAAACGAAAGAATTTATTTTTTTTTAAACGAACGAAAGAAGGCAGAATTTTAAGTCAAATTTTTGACCGTTGGCACGGTTGGCACGTTTAGTGTTAAAGAAAAAAAACATATTTCTTCTGGACTAAATCTTTGAAAGAGACCGGATTGCAAGAGAAGAACTTTATTGGAAATCGAACTGACACGAAAGTGGAGGAGAGATTTCCCCGAAATTGGCAGAAAAATTGAAACATCAGACCGTTTTCGAATCCAGAACGAACTTCGATACCGTCAGGATAATTTTCAATTTTCTTTTTTTTTTTTCTTCTTCCGAGACACACGCGGCAGCGTATGGAAATTGGAAAGATCATGGGAACGAGAGCGGCTGTACACGGTGTCCGCCGCGGGGAAACAAATATATATTCGTGAAATTCGAAACTCTCGGGCGAGCGAACCATCCCAGCAGTTTCGCGATAAGGCGAAGACGAAATTGATTCACACGAGGTATCCGATGAGATGACGAGCAACGTGAAAGTCACAGGTGAATGATTGCACGTCCACGATGGATGCCCGGCGAAGATTGGCAAGTAGGCCGTGTGATACGTGTATCTCGCTGGCGCGTGATGTTAGTACGTACACGAACTTGCGGTCCCCGCGATCCTTGAATCGATCCGTGATACACGTCATTTCGAACGAAGCGTGCAATCATCTTGTGCGTCGAACGCTCCGCTTCAATATCGTGCTTTCCTTTGCGATGCTTAACACTTTCACGGCGGGCATACTTGATTTCGTTCGTCCAAAAATATTGATACGAATAAATAAATGAAAATAACGACAGCGCTGGACAATTGTGTCGAAATATTCTGCGTATGAATCGCTATAATTTGAACGATGATTGAAATAAATAGTAGATTTGTGCAATCGTGCTTCTGTTCAGAACGACAGAAATTAATATTAACTCTGAGCAGGAGCAAGATCGTTGTTCCTTTTTAACCCGTTGCGCTGGCAACTGGAGTTCGCGGACCATAACGAGTGACCGAACCGTATACAATAATTCGTCGCTTTCTTTTCGAACTCGTCGGTATGATGATCGCTGGATAGAAATTATTGAGAAGTAATAAATTTATTATTAATATTATAATTAATATTATTTTTATATTTTTGTTTTAATATTATAATTGAATATACTTAAAACTGAGAGAATGTTGCAATTTGGGACAAAAAAGATTCTCAATGTGCGTGGCACCGTCATTATAGCTCAAATCTGGAAGGGTTCGACTGTTTAATAAAATTATAATGCTACGACAACAAACATTATACAATTATTTATAACACATATATGTACATAAAAATAATATTCCTTACTGTCTGTGACTGTCATTTCAAATATCTCGCCGTGAAAGTGTTGACAACGTCGATAATTTCGTGGGAACTGTGCCAGAAATGGTACACGGCGAGATATACGTAAAATATAAATTAATATTAAAAGTACGAAATTACAAATTAATATCGAAAGTATAGAATTGAAATTATATCATTCTCGTTACGTATTCTTTTTAGCTTCTTGAGAGCTTGAAATTTATAATTAAATAATATAAATTCAATATAAATAAATTTAATATAATATAATTTAAAATTTATTTAAATTAATACACATGAATGCATGTGAAAAGCAAAATAACTTTATTCGGATTACAGTTGTAAAATAAATCGAAGCATTCTTGATGCGAATTTCGAGGTTCACCGTGTACCAAATTTCGATAGTATTCTTGCTAATTCAATTTAAAATTTTGTACCTGGCAATACGAGGCCAATCTATGTCGAAATATCGAAGTTGAAGAAGTTGGTAACGTAACATCACCGTCTGTTACACATAATTATCATAGCGACACGCGAGACACGTGTTTATTCATCTACCTCCGTAATACTTCTCGAATGAGCATTTCAAGCAATCGAAAACTAATTTTACTAATCGTGAAATAATTCCGACACACCGCAAACGATGCAAGGCCGCTGTTCCTTTGTCCTACCTCTCGTGTATAATAAATTAAATTTCAATCCACTTGTGCGAGTCAGCTTTCTAAAAAATTTTCAATCAATCCGCGATGTGGATTGTTTCGCGAATATTGAAATTAAAAAAAAGAAAAAAAATAGAGAGAGAGAGAGAGAGAGAGAGAGAGAGAAGAAAAATATCTGGTTATCAACGTTATTAACGGGCGTATCGAAACAAATCGTTGCAGTGAAAACGCGCATCAATAACTAGCCGACTCTCCCCCGGATTTAGTGGAGCTCGTATAATCGATGGATACCGCTTTCGATACGTTCCATCATCCCTTCATCAATACCGCGCGAATACGCCTCGTTACTCTGTACAACGTACCCGTACGCTGTATTTTGTCGTCCATTTTATTCAACCTGCCCGTCCCGTTTTGCATTACGCGCCTCTCTCTGCCAGCTTTTCACGCGACGAAACGTTCGCCAATGACCAAGTGGACATCTCTGTAAGAAAATTTCTTGTCCGATTCGCGACTATTAACGTATTGTTGTTGAAATGGAAACGAACGAGGGGATGAGAGAGTGACGAGTCTGTTGATTAACCGAAAGAGTTGGGCGGTAATCGATTGCTTCTCGCAATTATTTTTTGTGATCGGTTACTAGACAATTGAATAAGTAATTTCACCAAATAAATAATTCAGTAACTTACTAAGTAATCGTACTAAATAAATTATTTAGCAAGATATATATTAGATTCAATATTATTACAAAATTATTACAAGTAGATTAATGTAGATTTAATATAAATTATTTGGTAATCTTACTAAATAAGTAAATTTAATACGTTACTAAACGAATAATCATTAATCAATTGGTCGTTGTTAAAACAAGTCAGCAATCTTGATGAATTCTTGCAATTTTCAATCACTGATCTTCAATTGTAATTTTTACAGGTTTTGAATCAAATTCAAAATATGCGTGCAATATTTTCGCGTATCCTTTGCTGCGCGATAATACCTGCGTTATTAAATTTAAAATAAAGTAAAATAAAAAACAGTTTTTTTTCTTTTAAGTTTTCAATTCTCTGATATATATATATATATATATATATATATATATATATATATATATATATTTTTGGTATTATTACAAGAGAACGAGTTTGGCGTTTGACAGTGAAGGAATCGCAAGGGTTTGATCATTCGGCAAGTTTATCGTCCATCTTCGCCGAGTCATGCAAAAGATTACTGTGCCAATAACGATAT